AGCAGAGAGGATTCTGCTAGCTGTAGGTCATCCTGTCTTGATCAGATTCATTTAAAGGTTAATAACTTTCTTCCAATCAGGGAACCTGTTCCTGATAGGAACTAAATCCTGTCCTCAGGTCCTTGATGACACAGACCACTCACCTATTTGTGTTGGCAACTGGCCTATGTTGAGAAGATTTAACAGGTAGAAGAATAGCACTAATAATAATCAATTTGTGAAAGAGTAAGGAGAAAAAAAAGCAGTAATCTGTTCTTGTCTATACTTGGTTTAAGCTGACTGTAAGGCACCTTGGAAAAAGACAAAGGAAAATTACATCACTGAATTCATTTGCAGGTGTAAAAGTTTGCAAGATCAGACCCTGCAGCAATACTCACTCAATACTGCACCCAAGTCTTTTTTTTAGTCCATACTTTTTGTACATAAATTTAATGGCCTGAATGTTGGGGGGTTTTTTTAGGTATTAAACATTTTTTAAAAGTCTATGGGCTTTATTTTGCGTTGATCAGTACACATTTTCCTGTGTACTTGCTTGTGATTATCACTTGAAATAATGAAAATTTTAGAAAATTATTTTCGGACCGAAGGCAGAATGGATGGGAAGAACGGATGCTATCCTGAGCTGTTTAAGTTGTTCTGAGACCCACTATTGGGTGTATAAAAAATTTGCAAGAGGTGAAGATGCTTGTTGTCATTAACTGTGATGGTTTTTCTGTGTGTGTGTGTCTGAGGTGATACAGAAATTCTGTACCCAGTCTGAACACCAGAGAAGGCTCAGGAAGTCTTGACAACTTTTTGTATCTGCCATCTTGCATCTGCTGGTCTGTCCTAGACTTGGACTTAAACTTACATGCCGATGTTTGGTTTTGAATCTCTTCTAAGTTAGAAGTGGCAACCTACTCTGGAGCACGTTATGAACATGAATGTTTGTTTTGGGGAAGGAAAGCTGCATGATTAACAGTAGGTTTAGAATAAAATGTTCCTTTTTGTTTTGTTTACAAAAGATCAGAAATTTGGATTTGGTGGTGAATAATTTTAAGTGGAGAAATATGTCTGCTAAAAAGCAGTGTAATAATATGTCTGTAGAGCACTTTGAAGATGAAAAGCTCTATATACTGTAAACATTATTACTAGTATAGTTTAATCTGTGTGGAATAATTAATCTAGCATAAGCCAAAATGTAGATTTTTTTTTTTTTTTTTAATGTGCAATACAGTGTTTCGGAAAGTCTGATGCACCTATGTATTTACTTTTACACTGTAATATAAGAAATTTATCCTCTTATTTTTTTTAATGTCTGTGTGTTGCAATGATTTCCTTTGTTGTTACTTTACAAATGCAGAAGCAGTCCTAATCCAGAGCAACAGGTCAGAAATGTGAAATTTCTAGACTGAGGGGAAAAAATAGGTGTGTTTTTTTTAAAGATAGTATAAAAATACTATGCAATGAGAAATAGGTGCCTGTCAGATATGGAAGTGTTTGGGGGCAGCTGGCCTCCTTAGGCTTGTACTGTGGCTCTGGAGAAGACTGAATTTAGTTACAGAGCCGTGCAGGTGCCAGATTGCACTGGGAAGTGAACACCTGCCAGGCTGCTCCAGATAACTCAGCAGCTCAGAGGCATTTTCCCAGGCTCCCAGATGAATGGTCCGTAATAGCCGTGGGAGAGGGCTTCCCACTGCTCCATGCTGTACCACAGCCTCTTCTTGGCAGCCTTCTGGAAGCACAAGTCAGCTTGGCTGTGACTCCTTTGGAAAACAAGTGTTGCTGGATAGTCTTACAGTAAAGAGTCAGTGTCTGATACTTCCTCTCGGTGTCGTGGGACTATGAAATATAACAAGCAGGGCAAATTACCGTTCCCTTAAAAGGCGGCATTCACTGGTGCGTATTTCAGCTGAAACTGAACTGTGGCTTCTCTAGAACCACTTTTATTCAGTCACATTTTGGGTTTCAGGGTCTATTTATTTTGTTGGGTTTGTGGGGTTTTTTTGCTCAGTGGTCTGTTTTGCTTTTTTTTCTTGTTTGTTTTTGGAACCTGGATCTGATGACTTTAGGTGCACAGTTTTGAAGTAAGAAAAACAAAACTCCAAATCACTAACAATAGTTTTATTTCTGCTTCTGTGTTGGTCATCTACAAATGGAGCTTTGTCTGTGTTGCAAGATGAAGAGGAAATTGAAGATTGGACCAGCTGGGTTTGCTGAACCCAAGATCTGTGAACTTTCTCTCTACCTTTCTGGCTACAAAACACTGTATGTAGCTTGGTGCTAAAACTTCCATGGTGTGCTTAAAAGGAATTAGTGATGGATCATTTGGTACATATCAGTTGGTATCATGAACAGCAGCTTTTGGTCCTTGCTAAGTATATACTGGCCGTCTTCCCTGGAGCATAATCCACAGCTTGCCCAAAGCCAGCGTTAGTATATAAACAGCATTGATGGTGGACAAGTCTGGAATTGAGAACAGGCTTAGACTCATGCTGAGTAACTGTGTAGAAAGTTTAAAAAGCTGCAAGTTGCATGAGGTTGTCGGATAAGAAGGTTTTCTTGTGGGGCTTATTTTTTAGTTTCTTATTTCATGAAGCAGAATGGTTATTTGGATAATGTATTTCTCTTGAAGGAAACAGAAAGAGGATATCACAGATTTTATAGTTCTGCAGTAACTTTGGCAACTTTAAAACTAGGGAAGTTTTGCAAACTCCAGCTGACTATGGATTAGATCAGATGTCGCATACAAGAGGGTTTCAAAACATTTGATGAGCATAGCTGTGTGATACTTTCAAAATATAGGTATCTTGAATGTAATGCATCTTAAAATTTTCTCACAGTTAGCAATAACTATCAGGAAATCATCTGTTCAGGCTTTTTCAGCAAAGTCAAGTAGTAAATAGTAATGGAAACTATAATTATTTTCTAGTGTTAGTCCCTCTGGGCTGAGCTTATTAGCTCAGGTGCAACTCCCTGTGAAGGCTTTATAAGACTTTCAGACTTGAGCTGACGCCTCAAAAATAGTGTAGAGGTGTCTTGATCTCTGACGTAATTATTTTTTTAGATTTGAGGTAGGCGTTCTCTTCCAGAGAACAGTAGCTAGCTGAATCAAGGGCCTTTAAGAGGAATTTGAAACTTTGTTCAGGCCATTAGTCAATCAAATATGATTAAGCACTTGACCTCTCTGAGAATACCAGGATAGCAAGAAAAATAAACAGATATACATGACACTGATTCCTAAAAGAATTTCAGGAACGGTGTATCATGCTTTTCCCTGTGAAAAACAAAAGATTCATGCTTTTTCATTTTAAGTTCATCTCAAGAAAAACACTTTTGGAATATCCCAGACAAATGGGGGTGGAAAGCCTGTTTTAATATTTACTCTCTCCTTGAAGATTTATTTGCAAAGTTGTACTTTCAGGACTGTTACTTTTTCAGCATTACAGAGGTAACAGTGGAAGATGCTATTATCACACTAATAACTTATTTATATACAGGGCAAATTCTTCGATTTGGCTAACCCTACTAACAATGTTAAAGAATTGTGGATGCCAAACTGGAAATAGCTAAAAGTAATTTTCTTTAATTGTGCTCGTAAATGTACAGTTAATAAAGCTGGTGGATTACATCCAAATTTTTCTCTAGTGCTCATCATTTTTAAGGGATGGTTCAACTTGTCACATCTTGACTTGATCTCTAAAGGGAAGTCAAATTTTAGGTATCTTCCTGAGGGGAAGGAAAAAAGATGGCTGATAAATTTCAAAAGGATTGATTGTCATCAATAACTATAGTTCTTAATAAGAGGTGATGCTGAACAGCACTTGATGATGAGCTCCAGGAGGTCTTGTACAAGTAGGAGAGTTGCAGACTCTGCAGGAGATGACATGCATTTTGGGGCTTAAACGTAGAAATAAGTCACACGTTGGCACTTGCTCAGTGGAGACTGAGACTGGAACAAATGAGCCTTCCCATACTTCTTTTTAAATGGTTAGATTAGAAGAACAGCCGTAGTGCTCAATTTTCTAAATTTTCTGCGGTAATTGCACGTAGGGTATTTGCCTGTCTTGGAAGCAGCAATAATTTAAGTCTTACAAAACCCATCAGAGTTAAGGGAAATACCACTAACCTTCTTTTGCACATTCATTTTAGTGAGGTGTACAGATGGACTATGGAGGAGGAGTCACAGATGCTAACTTCTCTCATTTTAAGTGGGAGTTGGGTTGCTAAATCCCTTTATGAATCAAGTCCTAACTGATTTACTCAGGGTCATTTGGGAATTTGAGTAGAACAAAAGCAAAAGTTGATTTCCTTACCCGTAGTCTAAGTCTCTTCGCCGTAATATAACCCTTTCTGTCCTTTTCTTACGCTCCTGGTGCACAAGGATTTCTGCCATTCTCAGGAATAGAACCTGGAGAAGCCTCTGTGTATGTTACAGGTATCTGCTGGTTCAGGCAGGCTAGCTCTGCCTGCTTGTACATACTGAGGAGTTTAAATGTATGCATTTCTCACTTAATTCAATGGAATTGTAGCTAGTTAAGACCTTTCATGTTTGTTTTTGTTTGTAGCCAGTATTTTTTCTATCAGCTTTGAGTCTGGTAGCTTTTTCTAGAAGGCAGTTAAGTAAATGGTTATGTGTGGTGTTCTTGTAGAATATGTATGGAAAACGTTGTAGTGAATAGGACTCTGGCCTGTTGGACTAGTGACCATGGCACTAGCCTATTTAGCAAATTACATCTCTGATCAATTAATTGATTTAAATTTATTTCTGCGGTTGGATATCAGAACTTGGTGGTTAGTAATTTGTTCAGATTTTTTCCCTGTTTCAGTTACTAATTTACTGAGACTTCAGTATGAGCAGTTTCTTTTTAAAAATACTCCTTTAAAGTTACATTTTCTGTTGTGTTCTTGAGCTGCTGCTGCTTTCTCTCAGTCCTGTCTTCGCAGATGCACAACACTTGGAGACCAGAGTGCCCAAGATACCCTTATGCTTACTGTTATGCCTTTGTTTTATGTTGCAGCCAACACTTTTCACATTACTGCCTACTTTATGAAGAGATGGATTAATCTCCGTTGTGCTATAGGGAAACGTTATCGTGGTAAGAAATCAGTTTCTTATGGTGTTACTTAGAATTTTGCATTTCTCGGAGGAAAAAAGGGATAATAAACTAATACCTTGTTAGATTTTGATCTACTTAATCAAAATCTCTTTCAGAGCTTGGTTTTGGGTTTGGGTTTTTTTGGCTTGTGTTGGTTTTTTGTTGGTTTTCTTTTTTTTTTTTTTTTTTTCCTCCAGAGGATGTTTCCTAAAAAAATGAGAAGTGTTTCTTAACGTATGATAGATTTTTTTAAAACTTAATTTTAAATTTGTGTATGCCTTGCCCCAGGGTAATCAGCTAAGCCACACCAAATTCTCTATGATGAGACTCAGCATTTTACAGTCTCTGCAGGGTGAAACTACCAGAGGTTGAAGTATGAATCACTTCATTATTGCTTGAGTGTCTTGTGACATCAACTGTACAGTACAAGTGTATGCAAGAAAAGGCTTTCATTCAGCTCAGTGCTATAAAACCTTTACATAGGTGATGTCATTAGACCAGATCTTTTTTTCATGTTTTCTCAAGCCGAGATGCTCTGTAAGGAAATTATATCAATCCTGTCCCTCCAACAGCAATAGAAAGGAGCTATAATGATTACTGCCCTTTGTGTTGACCTTTTCATATTAAACCCCCCCCCTAAAATAAAACAATTAGGTGTGCTTAAAAATATCAAATACTTGAATGGATATTTTAAAATATTTTCTTATTTTTATAGGAATTCATTATATTATTAATCTCTCTTCCAATGCCAACTAGTTGTTTTCTAAGTCCATATTTGTTGAAGATATTGGTGTGTTGATTTTAAATATTTCATCAAACTTGTTGTCCCAGCCCTCAGCAGAAAAGTTAGAATAGAATACCAGAGTGTCTACATTGGAATCTCAACATTGGTTTCTGGGTATTAACTTTGAACTTTTTTTAAGCATCAATGCATATCTAAAGATACTTCCATTTTGTTAGCCAGCAAGTGAGGTTGTTATAAAATGTAATAATAAAAATGTCTAACTGGAATGAACTTGCCTTACTAGTGCTGCCAAAAAGAGAGGCTCTGATGCTGCAATCAAAACTTCGCTTCCATGTGAAGTTCCTAACAAGAAAGGAACTTCATTTTGCTGAGTTTCACTACAATTAAATAGCAAAATAAGCCCATATGCTTAAAAATAATTTGGCACTAATGTTTCCTTTCTGCAAGGGACACCTAGTAACTTCATGAACAAAAAACAGACGTTGAGCCTAATAGGAGAAGTCTTGCATACTTTAACCGATGATGCTAACTTGGTATCTGAAGTAAACTTACCTAAGAGGCTGTTATTGGAACCCCACATAACAAGTTCTAGTCCTTGCAATGATTGCCCAGCTTTTCTTAGCCCATTTGGAAGATGCTTGTAAACTGCTCGCAGTTTGAAAGCCATTTGCTACTAGACCTTTGCAGGTGGCTGAGGATACAAGCAGAGAAAGAATAGTCTGGACATAAGGCACAGCGTGAATACTTCCTTAGACACAGTTTTGCTAAGAGAGTTGGTATTTCTGAAAGGATTATGAAAGGCTTATAGTCATTATCAAGTTGTAGTAACTTAACAAGCTGTTGTGTCAATACAGATGCATTTGAAGTCTCTGTGTATGCTTTTTCAATCAATGGCAAATGCAAGGTAATCTGTTTCACCATCCCTGTCTTCTGTTGTAATGACTCTAGAAAAGCTGCTGCTGGTATGCATGCAAGGGGTTTGTCAGATACTAATGGTGAAGAAGCAGTACCTTGTAGAGAGGTAGTCACCCACATGGATGACCTGATCATCACAGGCAAATTGTGCACATCTTGCCTATACTCAATTTATTGCGAGGAGATATTCTACCAAAAAATCTGAGGTCAACCTCATGTGTTTTCTGCATGCCTTGTCTCTTTCCTGTCCCAAAAAATAGGGCGTTATGGCTTGTTTTTGAAGTACAAAAACTTTGAAAAATTAATGACTCTCTTTTATAAAACCAAACCAAAACGAAATACAAAACCAAAGAAATCTGAAAAGGTGAAGATGTTAATATGGAAATAATCTGATATGTAAAATAACAAAATAGCCAGCTATACTCTTTTCGTAGCATTGCTAGGTACTGAATAAAGTTTTGTCTGGTCTGCTCTAATCTGAGAACCCTTCAATTTTTAATTACTTGTAAACAGAAACTTTATGTCCATAACAAACTATGTAACCTTGAGTAAAATATGTAATTCAGTAGTAGTTAACTGGTGTGTGTAATGACTTAAAAAATCGCCATAGTCAGAGTTTGAAACACTTGAGCCTTGTGCTGAGTTTTTATACCAAGTCCCGATTGACTATGTTGTGTGCTGTATTACAAACATAATTTACAGCTTTTGTGGTGAAAAGACTCATCACCAGAATAGCACTAAAGAAATAATTAAGTGGTTTGTCTGTTGATTCTGCCTAGTATTTTTGTCCAGGGATGCAGGTGGACTAATTTGCAGCCGTGACTATCCTCTTGGGAACTAAATTTATTCTGACATTGATTTTTTTTTTTTTTTAATGGTTTAAAATAGCAAAACAAAAGGAGGGATGAGATGTTGAGAGTAGCTAAGAAACTAGTGGAGTGCATGAAGTGAGTTAGTGTGCAATTTAAAAAATAAATTATTTTGTTTACTAAAATAACATGTATATATGTTGTCATTATGTGTGGTTTTGAATATGGTTACTGTTTTTGTAATCTTCTTTTCAATTCCTTTTGTGTAGAGCTACGTGTGTTTCCGGACAGATGTATAGTTTGTGTCAGTAAACTTGAATCTAGTCAAAGTGCTTGGACATGTGAAAATGGTGTATTGGTATGTAGAACACCGTTCTATAAATTTTCTGGTTTATTTTATAGTGGTAAGATGAATGTTTACATATAGATGTAGTTATTCACATGTTTCTGATTGTTACCTTGGAACCAGAAAGTCACATTAACAGTTGGGCCAAAGTATTCAAAAGGATATCCTGAAGTGAAACTGAAGCAGACAAAAATGGGTATTTGTGGAAGCTCAGCATTTTCTGAGCCTTATAAGGCTCAGAGAAAAAGACCATGTATTTAGAAAGCTATGTATGATTTTAGCACCATAATTTAAGGATCTTTTTTTTTCCTTTATATTTTGTCCTTGTAACATTTTACTTTACAAAATTATAATGGAGCAGCTTTTGATGTTCGTGCGTTTCTTGTATGTTTTCGCAGCACTTGTTCTGCAAAACAACTCAAATGGATCAGTGTTATCCCTGCTGGGAAAAAAAAAATTCCCCAAACATTTATGAAGAAAAAGGCACTGGTGTATAGTTAAATACCATAAAAAAAAAAAGCCCAACCACTATTTCAATATTTCATCCTGAAGGCTATGTCAGGGTCAAAGGCTTATGAATTTAATGCTGCAGTTAGCTGCTGATTGTCTCAGGAGTGCTTACGTTGACCCAGGTGGCCTGCTGCAGGCAGGCAGGCTCTTCTGTGCGCACAGTAAGAGTCAGAATTACATGCTGAGGTCTATGTATATTTTAGTAGTTTATCTTAGATGTATTAAAGTATATTTGATCCTTGGAAAAAAATTTTTCTTCTACTCATTCAACTTTGTATTTTTTTTAATATCAAGCAGGGTGTTTTTATTATACTAAATGTAGATTTTATTCTATTGATTCCTAGATTGGTAAGTATCTTTAAATGTCAAAGGATCAAGCAAATGTTTTTCTCTCAGAAAAACATCTAACTGCTTTAGAAGTACTTTGCTACTTTGAAAATTACTCCTTTCTCAGTATTGTCTTGAAAACTACTCAGATGCTTTAAGTAGAAAATCCTCTCTATGCATTTTGACTTAGAAATTTTTTTTTTTTTTTTCTTGCTTAAATATCTCTTATGAGAGATCCGGTTCCCTCACTTGGTATTTTTAATCCTTCCATAAAATATAAGATGAGAAGTTTTTAGTTTCTTTCACATGGTTCTGCCTAGTAAGGAGAAGGCAAATGAAAAATATAATGTTACGGACTTTAGCTTGACTGTTTCAAAATTTGATCTGGATCTATGGAAACTCCTTGTTTAAAATGGGAGTTTAAACACTTTTATGTTTAAAAAAAAAAAATCTCTTAATGGAATCATAACCTAATCAATAATAAAGTCTTGGGAGTTCGCTTACTTACAGATGCAATACCTGTGTATAGAACTTTCTGGGACAGGCAATATAGTATGGTGGTAGGAGAGAGTAAGATAGTTATCCCTAAGCCATCTTCCCTGACCTGAAGAACTACCAAGAGGTGAACAGACTCTCTGCAAATGTTTTGGAGTATCTTTCTAATTCTTACCACTCTAACTGAAAGGGTCCACTCCAGACTGTTTCATTGATCTGGAATTTCTACAGCACATTAGTACCAAATTTGTCATATACTCCAGTTCAGTACTTTGCCAAACTGGGGGAGTGTTTGATTGCCACTGAGAGGTAATTTAAAGTTTTTGGCACTCCAGAAGTAAAGGCTAAGGATCTGCACTTTGTGTGTGTACTTTTCTCTATGCAATTCAGCAGTGAGCATGCTTGAACTCTAAACTAGACTACAAAAGACCACCCAGAAGACCTTTCTGTTGATATACTCCAGTGTATTCTGTCATGGGATAAAAATGAGGCATATGTTTTGTTTTCTTCTCTAGTTGTTTGGGTTTGAATAATTTCATAGTGTTGCATGTGTGTTCTTTTAAATGTTTAATCAGCTCACACCCTTGGTTTTGAGGGCCTGTCTGTGTTTTATAAAAGTAGTTGGGTATATGTTAATGAAGACTTTGTCATTTTTCAGTGTTGCTGAATGTCACTGCGATTGACTTAGTCAATACTTAACAGTGTTTTTTTTTCTTTTTTTAAACCGCCTTTATGCTGGTTTATGGGTCAAGCTTTCATTCCTGAGCTCTGTCAAGACAAATCAGTCTCAATGCCCTGCTTTCTCATTACTTGGAACCAGTTTATATGTCAGCCTGATAGACATTTCTTTTACTCACTGCAACTCTCTCTTTCTTCACTGATCTTAGCACTTTATTCTTTTATCTTTTCGCCACCTTTTAGGCTGTGGTGTGCCTCGAATAGACTGTGCTTAAACCAAGAGTTTCAAGGGGTGTAGCCAGATATGAAATTAAATTCTAATGTCCTATGTCTCAGGAGAGATCATAATTAGATTGCTTTTGGGATATTCACAAGCACAAATCTTAGCATCAATTGCTGGGAGAAGCAATATGAAGCCTTCTGTGGTGCATCTTGTAAGACCAAGGAAAAGGTGGATTAGGCAGTGTCTGTCACATCAGCTACAAGTATAAACTAATAAAAGATTTGAGAGCACTTCTAAGGATTAGAGCTGAAATAAAATAGAAGCAAATCTATTGATATGTTATTTTCTATAACTTATTTAGAAATGGGCATTTCTGTGGTCATATCTAATAATCAGGCTGAAGGCAGTAATAATCATTTTGGAATAAGGGAAATCTTTATTAAAGAAACAATACAGCAAGTTATTGAAAATACATAAGCAAATTGGAAGTCTTAAGGAAAAGATGGAAGAATAGCCTGGCTGATTAATGCTAAGTTTAAACATAAAACTATTGTCTCCTGTTTTGCCAAACTATGTTTGTAATCTTGAATAGTTTTATCTTGAAAAAAGTGACAGTTTTGGGAACATGGCAAAAGAGGAAACTCAGGGAAATACGTAAGAGCTCTGGAGAGATTAGTCATCTTTGTCAATGACGACATTTTCTTGATTATTATTATGTCGGCAACTAAAGTGGAAAATTGGAAATGGGTTATCTGAAGAAACAGTGGAAATGGAAATGGGTGTAAGGCTTATTGGAGACTTGCGGGCGTTTGAAAATGTGCTAACAATGGAGTATTCATTGATAACCACATTGGCTTTATACTAGAATCTATGAGAGAAAGCAGTTGTATGGAAAGCATGAAGGTGGTCAAGTTAATGATGATATTAAAGTGGAAACTTGAAATTACTGGTCATGTGAAACCAGAAAAGAAGGTGAGTAGGAGATCCTGTCTCAATTAAAAGGAACTCAGGGTTTCCACTGAGCCTTGTTAAGTTACAGAAAATATTATACAAAAATAAAGATTCTTTTTTAAGAGTAATATTCTGCTTGGAAAAACAGACAAACAAAAAACCCACATAGCAATGCAAGAAGAAGAGGTGTGCTAAAGATCTGCCCAGTGCTTTCTAAATCCCCAACAGGGAAATAAAAGCGAGGTATTTTGTCTTCATATGTGTCTGATTATAAATTGTGTCATTGTAACATACCTCAGGTACATTAGAGAATTCTCTGTCTTAAAACTCCGAAGAGCATAAATGACATGATTTGCTTGCGTTTTGATTATGCTGGGAAGAGGCTTCTGGTTCTTTTATGAAAACATGTACACTTAGATGTAATTAACAGGAGACTTTTAACAATAGAGTATATACTGCTAGAATAGTGTGTCCATTGGAAATAAAAATGAAAACTTTTTTTCAGATAGCAGCAATTTGTAAAGATTAGTAGAAGACTTTATATGGAATTTAGTTATCTTAAATACTTTAAAGACTATTTTATTGTTAAGTGATATCAGAGTGGGTAGAGGAATAAGGAAACACTGTGAAATACGGTTGCACAATTCACACTGTGTAAGTGCTGATCTTGGCGTGGAACTGTGTGCGTATGTGTATGTATGCGTGTATATATATATGTGTGTATATATGTATATATAAAAAAATATCACAGTTAAACTGCTGTAATGGTGGGCTACTACTGGAAAGGTCAGTCCACATCCCCTCTAATTCCAGCTACATATTCCTTTCCTTTCTAATTACAATGGACCAAGTGATTCTTCAGTCAAGAATGAATTAGTTCATTGACTTGATCCAGCAGAAAATTATTTATTTGTGAAGCTTCTCTTTTTTTAATTGGAGGATTAATTTTCCGTCATGTCAGTTCACTGAACCAACTCATCCTGTACCCACACAGTTGCCAATTGTGACGCAAAAAACGTTGCAGGAACACACAGCTGGGATTTGATGAAGAGAGCAGGACCACCCCTTTAGGTAGCAGCTGATAGTTACCCTGGTTTGGAAGAGACGTCCAAAACATGTGTTAACGTTACATTTGTTGTAATACTTGTCTTGTTGATGATTTTGAATTTCATTATCCTTTTTTAAATCTCATAAAATCTAGTTTTCCTGTGTTTTCAGATATAATCTTTTCAGTCATTATAGGAAACATAGCTAGAGGAAAACAGCTTAGTATTAAGCTCTAGTTTGGTAACTGTATGAACAGGGTTCACTTTTTTTTTTTTCAAAAAGGTAAAGAGGGGGAAACGGCAGGCTACTGAACCCTGTCCAAATACCACATAGTGGAACAGGTGAAGAACTGCTTTTTTTTCTTTGGCGTGTTTTCACTTCTGTCACTTCAGGCTTCTGTCACTTTTTTTTTTACTCATCGTTTGTATTCTGCTCAAGCTGATACAAGACTGACGCTAAAGAAATGTGCAGTGCCTCGTCCCTTTTCCCTTCTCTTAGCCATACATTTTTGTCCTCAGTGTCTGTCAGTACTGGCGTGTGTGGGCAGCCTGGGTTAATTCATTGATCCCTCTGAAAATAAGGGGGTCTTTTGTTTTTGAGTGTTTTTTATTGTTTACGGGGATAGCCTTAAGCTCGATCACTTCAGTCAGACTCTCCCTGCGTGGCTGCATAAATGCTAGTGTTGATACAGAGACTTGGCAGGACCGTGTGTTTGGTAAGGGTGAGATTTCCATTTCAATGTCAGCATAGCTTTAAATTAGCTTGAAGCATAAGAGTGCTC